AGAGCCCACACGCACATCCGAGGTGGAAGCTGCTGACGCGTTCTCATCGAGGATGATGAAAATGCAAGAGGAGGCGAAGGCCGCACTGGAACATGCAGCGGACGAGATGGCCCATTACTATGACCGAGACTGCGAAACAGCCCCAAAGTACCAAGAAGGCGACCGAGTCTGGCTCAGTGCGCAAAACTACATGACTGACTGCCCAACCAAAAAGTTGGACCACAAATGGCTTGGCCCCTTCAAGATTGTCAAAGTCGTCTCCCCTGCTGCTGTCAAACTCCAACTTACCGCATGCCAGAAGGGAATCCACCCGGTTGTATCCATAACGAACGTCAGACCATGTTAGAACGGGGCGGAAACGGACGACTCCGGAGTGGAATCGGAGACTTAGCGTGGAGGGACCTTGGCCTCAGCGACTCAAGCGGAGCGCTGTGCCATTGCTGTTTGTCCATTTGGTCCTTAATTTCACAGTAGGTGAGCAGGAAGTCTCTAGGGGCATTTCAGGTCGATTTCGGACTGAAAACCAAGATGAGTATGTACAAGCGCCGATATATATAATGGAAGGGGCAAAAGCACAAAGAGAACAAAGGGTGACCGAATCGGAACGAAGACGTCCAAACGGGAACAAAGGGTGGGGGGAGCGGAGCAGTACCGAAGGTCATAGGGCAAGACCTGTGATACGTCCGAAAGGAGGTAGGGAGGGCGAGGCCCAGAGGGGCAGGAGGATGAGGGGAAGTGGGGATGATGACTAACTGGCTAGAATAGAAAGAAGCAGTAGTCCAAATAGGGATGAAGGGAAAATGCGAGAAATACATTACAGGCGGCGAGAGTGCCGAAGGCGGTCCGCGAAGCTCGGGGGTTGCGGAGCTTACGGAGGTTACGGAGGCGGGGTTGGAAGTCCGAGGAATATTGGCAATGGTGTTTACGTAGTATGAGGTCACCAATGCATTGGACTAAGGCCGAGGTGGAGTCAAAGTCCGAGGTAGGGACTATGACGGAGGCTCGGAGTAAGGTATGAGCGGTGTCCGAGTGCGAAGTACGGAACAGCGGTGGAAGGTCGTAACTTGGCGGAAGGGTGGCGGAGGAGTAATGGAGGGAGGAGAGAGGGGACAGGTAAGGGGAGAAGGAGTGGCGGAAAGGAGAGTAGTCAGGTCCGAAGGTGAGTATCGGAGCGGACGGGGGAAGCGTAGGAGGATAATGGGAGGGTGGAGGTGTTGTGAAGGGGGAGCAGAGTAGTAGGAGCGTGGCGAGAGGTAAGGAGGAGGTGTGTTGCCAGGATCGAAGGTGAGTATCGGGACGGCAGCGGTAGGTTATGACTCGGGAGGTGAAGAGGGTGGAGGTCCGGAAGTCGGGTCGGGGTCGGGTATGCACAGATATGACAGACCACACCGCCTGGATGATATCCCAGAACGACCCACTGACCCCCACCCAGGTCCGGAACTTGTAGATGGAGAAGAAGAGTACGAGGTCGAGAAGGTATTGGACTCTAAGTGGCTATGCCGGAAACTCTGGTATCTGGTAAAGTTCATTGGTTGGCCAAGCTCAGAGAACCAATCGCTCCAACGGGACCACTTAGCCCATGCCCCCGACCGAATCGAGGAATTCCACAGGATGCACCCCCAAGCCCCAGGGAGAGAAAGAGAGAACCATCTGGCCGCTTCGAGGCGGAGCGGCTTAAGGAGGGGGTGATGTCAGGGCACACCCGCCTGACCCGGTTCCACCTGGGCCCACCCAGGCCCACCCGGGCCCACCTCACCCGCTCCCCGCTACCCATCCTTCCTCCTTCCTCCTTCCTCCCTCTTCCCTTTCCTCCCTTCCCTCCCTTTTCCCTCTTTTCTCTTTCTCCTTTATTTCATTCTCCCTTCCTGTTTATTCTTTCTATTTACACGGACCACCTTCCCTTGTATCATTGTACTGTTGACCTGTCCGGCTCAGACACCCCAGACGACTTCCCACTACACCTAGCACGTGCACCTGCAGTGGATGCCCTCGGGATCCCCCCCCGGGGATACCCGGATGGCTGCAGCTCTCTCCATAGATGACGTGGCACCCGTCATGTGACCCAAGCTGCATGTACATAAATGTACCTGAAGTGGGAACTGAAGAAGTAACCTTCTTCTCACGTTTTCCACTTCAGGTAAGTAGTGTAGTTCTTCCTTTTAATAACAATTCACGTTTTCCACTTCAGTCTAAGTGGCCAGGGACTACAGTCCCAGATCAGGCCCGTCAGTATGCGTGCGCCCACTTTGTCCCCCGAGAGGGTCCCTCTGCCAGGTGCTACAGCTGGGCCCCCTCTACCCCGGACGCGTCCCTGACAATCATACAGGATATATATATAGGAAGACAAAATGAATAGAAGCGGACCTGGGCCAAAGGCTGAAGGTGTCAGGGGACGACTCCCAGGTCCCCATGACCCTCCCCTATGACCCACAGCCTCAGGTCTGGCCAGCCCCATCCAGGGCACAATCCTACTGTGGGTAAGGAGATGAGAAGGAAGCTAACTTCTCATCTTCCCACAGTGGCCACAATATCAGCAAAACTTCCGGGGATACCCGGAAGTCACATGAAGGGGTAGGAACCGGGCCTGGAGCATGCGGCACGTGGAGCGTGCACGCATGCGGGAAGCGCGGCAGGTGGAAGCGGGTCCGGATCCGGGTCCGGGTCCGGGCTAGTCAGGGTGTGTGCCCTGACATCACCCTCCCTCTAAGCCACTTCACCCCGAAGTGGCCCTAGTCCCCAGGTAACCCATCCCTCAAGTGGTTAGAACAAAACAAAAAAGCGGAGGTGGGAGTGGGAGCGGGGGATAATGTAAGGGTGGGAGTATAAAACTATTCTAAGTTAAAAAAAGGGCAGCGAAAAAATAAAAGTTAAGTTAAAAAGATTAAACTAGTTGTCCATTGCCGCATATGCGGTGCTCCCCTAAGACTTGCCAGACAAAAATTCGGGTCCCTCAGCACCCTCCATTGTCTGCTCGTGACTCAGCAACCTCCAGCCTGCATCCCTCATCCCATGATGCCCCAGCTGCAGTCGTGTTGTCCCTGTGATCGCATCTGGCCTCGGGGCTGCGCCCGCTCCGGGTATGGAGGGTGGTTGTGCAGCACTTGACCTCTGGGCCATCGTCTGCATGCCTGCACTCTGACCTCTGGGCTGCGCTCCTCCGGGTATGCGGGGTCGGGGGTGTGGTAGCGCCAAGGTAGTGGCAATAGTGGGAGAGTCCCAGGGGATCCAGCAGGGTCTACACCCCGCTCCCCACCCTCCCTCTAATGCCACTTTGCCCCGAAGTGGCTAAACCTCAAAAAACCCCCCCTCCCCCCTCCTCTGCACATGGTGGTCCGTTGCCTGGGACGCTGGGCTCCTCTTCAGGGGTGGATGGGGAGAATGTGGAAAGGGGAAAAAAAAATTTTCGGGGTGGGTGGCAGGAATGCGGTATAGTCGGGCCCGGGACCAGGCGGTGCAGGGATCGCGTGTGAGAAACAACTCTCCTCCAAGTGCATCCTGCAGCTTGGGGAGTCCGGGTACATGGACAGCAGGGTTGCTGTGATGCGGGCTGAGCGCCACCCTCCCTCTGTGCCGCATGCCTAAGCGGCCACAGCAGGGGACCTTGGGCTCCTTCGTCAGCTCTTATCCATCACCTCTCATATCCATCCTCCATTGAAATCCAAATGTTGAACTCTCTCCTGGGTGCCCAGCACCTCAGGGAGTTGGGTTCGTGAGCCGTAGTGGGTCCGTGATGCAGCTGGGATACACAACCCTCCCTCTATGCCGCATGCCTAAGCAGCCATAGCAGGGATCCTGGGCACCCTCACCAGCGGCATCCATTCCCTCTCGTGCTCGTCCTCCATCGTGAATCCAAAAAAGGCGCTTGTGTGCGTGCGCGACTCTCAGTTGCAAGTGAAAGCTGTCAGGGCACACCCGCTTGACCCGCCTCCACCCGGGCCCACCTCACCCGGTTCCCCTTCTCCCACCCTGCACCCCTCCTTCATACCCCCTCCCCCTCTATCCCTCTCCCACTTCCACTTCCACTTCTATTTCTATTTCTATTTCTATTTCTACTTCACACGGATGACCTTTCCCTTATATCCATGTATTATTGACCCGCCCACGACGTGCACACGACATGCCTAGCCCCGGACGACCCCAGACGGCTCTAGGGCGCAACCTAGTGCGCGCGCGTGCAGCATACACCCTCAGGATCCCCCACAGGGACACCCGGGTGACTGCAGCTGTATGCGGGGTGACGTGGCAGACCTCATGTGACCCAAGCCGCATGTATATAAACACACCTGGGGTGGTGTCAGGGTCGCGTCCGCGGTCGAGGCGGTCCGGGCGTAGCGTCCGGTGCTGAGGACCTCACAGGGGATGGATCGGGCGTGCGTACTGGCAGCCCCGATGCGGGACGATGATCCCTGGCCACTTAGACTGAAGTGGGAATGTTGAGTTATTATTAAAAGGAGAACTATGCTACTTACCTGAAGTGGGAATGTTGAGAAGAAGGTTACTTCTTCGGTTCCCACCCCAGGTGTGTTTATATACATGCGGCTTGGGTCACATGAGGTCCGCCACGTCACCCTGCATACAGCCGCAGTCACCCGGGTGTCCCCGTGGGGGATCCCGAGGGTGTATGCTGCACGCGCGTGCACTAGGTTGCACCCTAGAGCCGTCCGGGGTCGTCCGGGGCTAGGCACGTCGTGTGTGCGTCGCAGGCGGGTCAATAATACATGGATATAAGGGAAAGGTCGTCCGTGTGAAGTAGAAATAGAAATAGAAATAGAAATGGAAATAGAAGGGGAAGTGGGGGAGGGATAGAGGGGGAAGGGGTATGAAGGAGGGGTGCAGGGTGGGAGAAGGGGAACCGGGTGAGGTGGGCCCGGGTGGAGGCAGGTCAGGCGGGTGTGCCCTGACAGGTGGGAACCGAAGAAGTAACCTTCTTCTCAACATTCCCACTTCAGGTAAGTAGCATAGTTCCCCTTTTAATAATAACTCAACATTCCCACTTCAGTCTAAGTGGCCAGGGATCGCCGTCCCACATCGGGGCTGCCAGTACGCATGCCCGATCCACCCCCCGTGAGGTCCTCAGCACCGGACGCTACACCCGGACCGCCTCGACCCCGGACGCGACCCTGACAAAAGCGGGGGTGGGTGGTCTCATCCCGGTTATCTTGGGCGTCTGCGGTTACGAGGCTGGCAGCGGGTGGGTGACCCCGTTTCCAGAGTGCCTTTCGGCCAGTTCGCTGGCAGCAGTCAGGCGGCTTTGTCTCCCTAGCGCGTTCAGCAAGGTGTCCGGGTAGCGGTGGGATAACGTGGGGAACTGTCAGGGACGCGTCCAGGGTGGAGGGGGCCCGGCTGTAGCGCCCGGCGGAGGGACCCTCTCGGGGGACGAAGTGGGCACGTGTACTGACGGGCCCGATCTGGGACTGTAGTCCCTGGCCACTTAGACTGAAGTGGAAAACGTGAATTGTTATTAAAAGGAAGAACTACACTACTTACCTGAAGTGGAAAATGTGAGAAGAAGGTTACTTCTTCAGTTCCCACTTCAGGTACATTTACGTACATGCGGCTTGGGTCACATGACGGGTGCCACGTCATCTACGGAGAGGGCTGCAGCCATCCGGGTATCCCCGCGGGGGAGAGGGCGTCCACGCATGCTGGGCGTAGCGGGAAGTCGCCCGGGGTGTCCGAGCCGGACGGGTCAACAGTACAATGATACAAGGGAAGGTGGTCCGTGTAAATAGAAAGAATAAACAGAAAGGGAGAGTGAAATAAAGGAGAAAGAGGGAAGAGGGAAGAGGGAGGAAAGGGGAAGAGGGAGGAAAGGGGAAGAGGGAGGAAGGGTGGGTAGCGGGGAGCGGGTGAGCGGGTGAGCGGGTGAGTGGGTGAGGTGGGCCCAGGTGGGCCTGGGTGGAACCGGGTCAGGCGGGTGTGCCCTGACAGGAACCGGGTTGGTGGTCTCTAGCGGGTCATCATTCTTGCGTCTGTGGTTACGAGGCTGGTAGTGGGTGGGCGACCCCATTTCCAGAAGGCCGGTACGTTGGCAACAGTCAGGCAGCTATGTCTCCTTAGCGTGTCAGCGAGGTGTCCAGGTAGCAGTGGGATGACCCTCAACCGTCAGGGACTCGTCCGGGGTCAAGGGGGCCCGGGTGTAGTGTCCGGGACTGAGAGCCTGGCGGGGGGCGGATCGGGCGTGCGTACTGACAGGCCCGATGCGGGACAGCGGTCCCTGGCCACTTAGACTGAAGTGGAAAGTTGTTATTATCATTAAAGGAGAGATATTGTACTACTTACCTGAAGTGGAAAGTTGAGAAGAAGGCTACTTCTTCGGTTCCCACTTCAGGTTCGTTTATATACATGCGGCTTAGATCACATGATGGGTGCCACATCACCCTCGCACACAGCTGTAACCACCCAGGTATCTCCGTGGGAGATCCTGAGGGCATCCGGTGCAGGCGTGTGTACTGGGCACAGCGGGAAGTCACCCGAGGTGCCCAGGCCGGGTACATGGTGGGCGCGCTGCAGATGGGTCAATGGTACATTGATACAGAGAAAGTCGTCCATGTAGAATAAAGAGAGAATAAAGAAGAAGTAAGATAGGGAGAAACTGAGGAGGGAAGAATGAGGGGGGAAGAAGGGAAAGGGGGAGTGTCAGGGCACACCCGCCTGACCCGGCTCCACCCGGCCCAACCTGACCCGGTACCCCGCCGGTCCACCCTTCCTTACCTCCTCCCCCTTTCCCTTCTTCCCCCCTCATCCTCCCCTCCTCAGTTTCTCCTTATCTTACTTCTCCTTTATTCTCCCTTTATTCTACATGGACGACTTTCTCTGTATCAATGTACAACTGACCCATCTGCAGCGCGCCCACCATGCACCTGGCCCGGGCACCTCGGGCAACTTCCCGCTGTGCCCAGCACGCGCGCCTGCACCAGATACCCTCGGTATCTCCCACGGAGACACCCGGGTGGTTACGGCTGTGTGCGAGGGTGACGTGGCATCCGTCATGTGATCCAAGCCGCATGTATATAAACAAACCTGAAGTGGGAACCGAAGTAGCCTTCTTCTCAACTTTCCACTTCAGGTAAGTAGTACAATATTTCTCCTTTAATAATAATAACAACTTTCCACTTCAGTCTAAGTGGCCAGGGACTACTGTCCCATATCGGGCCTGTCAGTATGCACGCCCGATCCGCCCCCCACCAGGCCCTCGGTCCCGGACCCTATACCCGGACCCCCTCGACCCCGGACGAGTCCCTGACAGGGAGGAGGTAAGGAAGGGTGGACCAGCGGGGTACCGGGTCAGGCGGGTGTGCCCTGACATCACCCCCCCCCTTAAGCTGCTTCGCCTCGAAGCGGCCAGGTGGTTCTCCCTTTCTCTCCCTGGGGCTTGGGGGTGCGTCCTGTGAAATTCTTCAATTCGGTTGGGGGCATGGGCTAGGTGGTCCCGCTGGAGCCATTGGTTTTCAGAGTTCGGCCAGCCAGTGAACTTTACCAGATACCAGAGTTTCCGGCATAGCCACTTAGAGTTCAATATCTTCTCGACCTCATACTCTTCTTCTCCTTCTACTAGTTCTGGGCCTGGGCATGGGTCAGCAGGTCTTTCTGCGATACCATCCAGGAGGTGTGATTCCCTTCTGTTGGGTGGTGAGCTGGAGCTTAACGGCGGCTGGGGAGATGACTTGAGTGATCCTAAAGGGGCCAAGCCACTTGTGGTCCAGTTTTTTAGTCGGACAGTCGGTCGTGTAGTTGTGGGCATTGAGCCAGACTTGGTCACCCTCTCGATACTTAGGGGCCGGGTCACGGTCCCGGTCGTAATATCGTGCCATCTCGTCCACTGCGTGCTCTAGGGCTGCCTTTGCCTCCTCTTGCATTTTCATCATCCTTGACAAGAATGCATCAGCGGTGAAGGAGAGAACAAAGGAAAGTCAGTTGGGAGGTTCAAACAAGACCACCACCAAGCTGTTCCCTGGTTCTTTAGTTAGGATGGGGGAGTGTACTAGTGTTATTTATTGTAAATATAGTACCAATCCGAGTGTTTTGGCTAATTCTATTTTTATGGGTTAGTTTTAAAGTTCCTGGGAATTGACTTACAGATAAACCGAGCCCTGCGGAGCTGTTTCTTTATTGAAATTTATTAATTTGTCTAGGTGTAATTCTGTGTAGCATTGTTTAATTTGGATTTAAACTTGAATTTAATCTTCTACTTGGTGAAGTTTCAAAGATTCTATTCAGTTAATGAATTTGGATTGTGTCTGGAGTGTCCCTTGAGTTCGTTTTATTTTTGTCTTATTTTATCGCTTGTTTTAACAGTAGCAAAATAACTGTTTTGTGCTTACACTTTGAAATCTGGAGTGTTAACCAGCTCTCCTGTTGAAATATCTACTTAATATTTCTCTCCTTAATTGCTGCCTTTTACTACAGTGGCAATCTTAACTGTATATCACTTTTTCGCACTGGAGTGACAACCAGAAATGCTTGAGAAAAATAATACTCTATTTTCTTACTTCTCTAAGGGGGGCGAAAAGTCGCAGAAAGGGTCTCCCTTTTATACTCCTTGGGTCGCCTTCCTTTTTCACGCTCTACCTTCTATTTACAGGATTTATTTACAGTGTATTTTTCTCAAACTGAATAAAAATGAAATTTTCATGCTATAGTTCTACTGCGCTTTTGCTGCGCTGAACTGCGGTTCTACTGCGGTCAGACTGCACCTAGAATTCTTATTGTCCTCCCTCGCCTAAGCTATTTTAATGGTTAATTAGAACTTGGCTGCGCTGCATTTGCCGCAGTTACCTATTTCAAATTCTATATATATACCATTAAATTTGCTATGACTCGATGACTCTGAATTCAAACTTCGCATTACTATGCGTACGGCTGTGCTGAGACCTTCAGCTGATTTATTCCATTTTTATTTAGTGACATTTAGTTAAAATGAGACTGAAATGGTAAATGAGTGAATTATTCAGGTTTGAAACTGAAAGAAAAAGTTGCTAGTAGTCAAGAATTACTCAAACGAATGTGTTATAGCTCTCCACCTCATTAGAATATCGTTCCCTAAAATTCCCGCCATGGTCCGTCGTAGTTTAGTGGTTTTCGTGAATTTTGTTCATATTCTCTGATTTCCTTTTGTATTATCGCATCCTAATCCTCCATATGTATCGTTGGTTGTTATAGTAGGTTGTCCTTGAAGATATCATATTTTTATCTATTTTATTTAGGACTCTGGACCTCTTGAAGCTGTTTTCCCGCGCATTTTCAGGTTTCTAACTTCATGTCCTTCTATCTCATTCATTTCTGGATGTTTCCTCACGTTCTTAGTATCATAAATTTTCATTTATTCCCACCTTTCCAATGGTACTAATATTGTGTCATATTTCCTGGTATTCGTTGAGTTAGCAAAGATTCGCGCGCACATTCGGTAATCACATGCGTCGTTCGTATGCGGGAGCCGTTTTCGTTTATTTGTTCGGGATTTATGATATGCGCGGGTGTTTATTTCTTTCATATGGGCTTCTGTGATTTATTTCAGATTTTTCCCTCATGTTCTAAGGTTGTTTTGCACTTTCCGTGCTTTGTTTTGACCGGGCTCTTCCTTATTTGGATGGAAATTGGTCTTCGCGATCTGCCGAAGTGCGGATCTCGGTTCCGACGGCCGGTTCCCTGCGCATCGCCACCCTCACGTGTCATTACACATGATGCGGATTCCTATATTCCCGTCATGGGTATAACGTCACAACGGCTGGACCGTTTGGGCTGAGAATTTGCATAGCTATAGTTTCCTATTTTTCATAATTTCCGTGTAAATTTCGTTGTATGTTTTAATTATGGATCCTACGCAATCATCGTCTTGTCCCTGAGCTCGGACTTTTGATGTCACTATTCCCGTTATTGGATTTCTCATTAACGCATGATCCTTTTATTATGGAAATTTGGGAGGATTAAGAGTAGATCCCTTCCTTTCTAATGGGCTATCAAGCTTGTCTCGGTCGTTACTAGTTAATCTTCGCGCTTGCTTTTTAGACATTGTCCTCATTTTGCAGGAGTTTTAGTCATATCTCCGTCGTTTATGGGTAGTTTCCCCTGTAATTACTCTCATTGGTTCCGTTTGGGGGACATCTACATTTCCTATTATAAACACGACTTTGACTTTTGCATTAGTTCCTGAGGAATCTTTGTTCCGTGGTACTTCCATCCTTGCTACGTGTGCGGACGTGGGAAAGTAGTTTCCGTGGAGGTTCTCTGATTATTTTTATAGTCAAATCTTGGTCGATTGTCCTAATTCTTGGTTTAATATTTGCTATAAATTCCCCCGAGAATTCCGTCTCGTTGATGGTAAGCTTGAAGTATTTTTGTTATTTTTCTTTCTTTCGATTTATCGTGTATAGTCATAATAATTCGTAAAAATTCGTAAAATTCGTTAAAATTCAGGTCCTTCTATGTTCTCATATCTACTTGTCGTATGAGGTTTTGTGATTTATCTGGCATATTTCCATAATGGGTTTCCATAGTGTGGCCGTTATTTCTCCTACAGCGGCTTCCACCTCGGATGTGCGCGTGGGTTCTGT